CAGATTCGTTTATTTCTATTGTATTTCATTCTCAATTATAATTAAGATGTTCTCACTTCTCACAATTATAATTATCAATTTAGAATAAGTTATTACTTAATTAACTTTAAGTATATATATATATTTTATAATTAAAACATTGTTCTAGTCATTTTGAAAGTTTTGATAAGATTATATATTATATCAAAAGTAAAAAATTCTATTGTGGATAATTTAAATTCCACAATGATTTACACTTCACAGAAGTTATTCGAAATTAACTTTAATAAAAGCAGTCAACACTGTTTTGAAATTTTCTAACTACGTCCGTGGCTGTATACTCTTCTCATTTAAACACTATTCACTCTCATTCTGACCATTAAAGTCAATCAAATGTGTGATAGTTAGAAATGATCTATAAAGTGAGAGATATATTGAGAAAAAAGAAAAAGCATTAGATAAAAAAGAAAAATTAGATGAATATGTAAACAAGCACATCACGAAATTATATTTATTATAATTAAATTTTATCCATTTCTCAATTTATAAAACGATGTGACTTTCACTTTATCTTTGCTTCACATTATATAATATCATAATGATCGCAATTTACGTACATTTTTATATTAAAAAAATTGAGCATAACTTCCATTTATTGTAATAGAAATTTTTAATAAATTATTTCTTTTATGTAATCTGCATACTATAATTTCTCACAACTTCATTGCTGTGTATTTTATAACGCGCAACTATGATCCAAAATCACTTCTTTTTTTAGAGTTTTTGTAGTTTCTATATACAGCTTTTCAAAAGATTATTTTTCTGATATTTTCTGATCTTTTCTAGAAAAGTTGATAGACATTGATATTAAACGCTTTGTTATTTTAAACATTTTGTTATTTTATATGTAGTATATATAATTCAATTTTTTTATAAGCTTTTGGACCATAGTTGCGCGTTATGAAGTACACGTGAGCAATAGTCCTTTAAATATTTACCATAATAAATTACTAAAGGACCATAATTGAGAGAATGTTTCGCAACTATATCATGAGTAGTAAATAATATTAAAAAAAAAAGATAAAACATATTTGCAAAATTCAATAAGAAAAAGTATTTATCAAGGTATTTATTTTAACACAATTGTTTATCCTTTAACAAAATAATAGAACTTGAATGAAATAAGATCAACATAAAATTAAAATAAAATCGAGATTTTATACATAAACAAAATCAATATTCTTACAGCATTTGAGATTGGCATTCTACTACCATCAGTCGCGTAACTGTTGGACATAATATTTGAAGCTTACATATCTCACAACGTTGCTATCAAGAATGTATACTGGACTATGATTTGTGACTTATAATTCAACGTTATATGCGGTAACATGAAGTTTTGCTAAAGATCGTTCAAACTTGAACAGAAATGTTTATTGTTTTAATATTTGTGACTGAAGTTTGTATATTATTATAATAAAAAAGCCTTGGGCGAAGAACCGCGCTCAGGAGTAAATTACCTTAATATCGGTGTATCGGCGAATTTAACGGTTGTGCTGAGTTGTGCTACGCTAGCACAACTCAGATATACAATATAGATCACATGGAAGCATTATAAACCCGAATTTTGAATAAAAAAGCCTTGGGCGAAGAGCCGCGCTCAAGAGTAAAGTACCCTTAATAAAACATAATTTTGAAACGGAATTGATTTGAGATATTTTTATTTTTGAGAGATGAGAGTATTATAAAAAGAGAATTAAACACACACTATATATACATATATATGTATAAATTTTTTTAACAATCTTATTTTAAAGATCTTATGGTAAAATAAAGAAAATATGTTAAGCTTTCTTTAGTATTTTATTATAGACGCAGCTGGTGACTGGACTCTTTATAATATAATTGCATTTTGGCCATAATCCTACTGAAACCAATCGATATAAATTTAAAGGCTAATAAGCTATTTTTCTTTGAGATAGACTTGCCACGCTCTCTTACTAGACAGACTATATCATTCAGATAAAAAAAACTAGTTACGCATGTTTTAAATTATATTGTTACACAAATTTGAAATATAAAAAATAATGACTTGGGGGGAGGGGAGTGAGAGAGAGAAGGGAGAAATGGTTAGCGTAATAAAACTGAATTTTTTTATGAAGAGTATATTGTACTAATGTAACTATACAAGAAGTTCTGCTAAAGCTGTGTTGTGGATAAGAATTTCCTAAACACGTGATCATTTCGTGATGAAGACGGATGGTCAATGGAATTGTCGACATGAGTGCACATGTTGCACACGTGACACCGTAATTTGACTGCGTTACAATTCTCGTTGTATAAAAGAGAAAGGAATGACCTGGAATTTCAAGCAGTTTTGATTTTAAATTAAATGTTTCAAAAATCATTTATATCGCAAATACAAAATGTAGCTTTTATAGACATTTCATTCAATTGCTCAATAATTATAGAAAAAAATTACACGAAGAATTCTCAATGATTTTTAACGTAGAGCATATTAAATTACCAATAGATTATTTGTAGTCTCTTATCCTAATAAAAATTTGAATTGCATTACCAATACGTGATAAACACGATGGGATAACGATTTATAAATTTAGTAAACTACGATAAACTATTAGATTAACTGTTATTTTAACGCTTTCTTTTTTGAAATGCAAATATAGTTGACTCTGTTTAGGGTTACATCATTTCTGGTTTTCTCAGCACCAATGAAAATGTATTAACTGTATTTGCTCTCAAACCAGATAACAAATTGCTATTAATTTGACATTCGATCTCCTTACGTACGCAGATTCTACAAAAATTGTCAAAGCAAAAATCAACGCGATGCTCAAAAAGATTCGCTTCCGATGCTTCCTGCACTGAATATGTAATTGTATAATGATCGTTATCGCAGAGCGAATGTGTGTGAGCGACGAAACAAAGAGACAAAAAAAAAAAGGAAAATTACTGGTTTTGGAATAGAGCAGCATAAAGTAAGAACGTTTACTATAGGAAAGTTGAAAATTTAAGTCGATAGAAACTCGTGAAATATTTACCGTAAACAAGTATTTCTTATATAATAGTAAAATTATAGAAATAAGAACTTTTTATATATTTTTAATATATTTTTAATATATTTTTAATGTTTTAAAAAATAAATTATCAAGAATTCAACGTTTTCGGAACAAAAAGAACATGTTTTCGGTATCTAATGATAAATTGCTGTCAGCAAGGTGTGCATATTTTTAAAGTCGACTACGTGTATAATTAACTCGATGCGTCAGAGAATTAACACAACTGCCACATGATACATTATCAGATATAAAAATATTTTGAATATATTCTGCGTGTGTATTTTTGTGGTTACAGATTTAAAACACACAGAGTTGAAGCATTCAATCCGTAAATAGAAGTGTAGATGATACATTACTTACATCGAATAAATGTAGTTATTAAAAAAAAATCATTAACGGTATTTTTAATGAGTCGTAAATGAATTCGAATAAGATGACACGTTGCGAACACGTGCTATTTTGCGCCGTTTTAAATAATATTTCAATCAATTTCAGTGTTACGTTTTTTTCAATTGCTTATCTCTACGCAACTGCGTTTTTATAAATGATTATTAAAAGTGTAGCTGTATGCTATGTTTGTGTATATTGCGAATTGAATAAAATATATGAGCAATGTCTAATCAAAATTAGATTAGTGGAAACTTTCCATCGTTGGCTTTTACGTGACGCTTCGGAAGTTAAAGATTGAATGAGAAAAAACGTGACATCCGTATTTAAGTTATCATTAATACAACATTGTTTTGTCTACATTGTAGAACAGTCTGGGAATGTGGGAATTCTCTCTCAAACAGTCATTGGAAACACGCAGCGCGTCACGCCCGATGCGTGTCGAGCAATCTTGAAAAAAGCGAGGTCAATGAAATGACACGTATTCCTTTTTTTCTAGGAAATTAGTACACATCACTTCGATTTATCGATAAATTGAAATTATTAGCGATATTATTGTCATTCCAAACTTTATAGGAATAGGAATTATCTTTCTTATTCGCTTTTTTCAAGATTGTCTTTTCTTATTCTTTTTTTTATAATCACGCATTTTCACGTGTTTTAATGAGGATCAATATCAACGGCCCTACGAAGAATCTTCTTGGGTCTCTACGATCTTTGACCTCATAATCGGTGGTTATAATCACATATTTGTGTTTTTCGTTTCAGGACAGGTTTTGACTGGTCAGTTTCGGAGTATTCATATTACCTCTAAAAAGTTGTACTAAAGAAAGTAATGTAAAGATGACATTAATACAAAATGGAATATCATCCTTTAAAAAACTTTGCAAAACGTATTTTAATATGTAATATACTTCGACATTAGATTCATTTAATTATGCTGCAATATTTCATTATTGTAGGAACCAATAAGATTACATAATTACATGTTACTGTTTACATGTTTCCTCAAAATCTCTTGTGGAAAAATTTTGCTTCACTGTCGTTAAATGTATATTATATTTAAAATATTTAAAAAATCGTATGCATTGCATCTATATTTATATGAAACAAATAGGAACTATGAATAGACTCTAGTGGCAATATTTTTATACAATTGAATGAAATAGGCAATACATAATTTTTATATGTAAACATTAAAATTTTATATTAGGGAATTTTATATACTATCGATTTTGTTTGATTGCCAAGTGAAATTATTTACATTGAGTTTACGTCAAGCTTGAAAGTTTACATTAAAAAAATTATACATTGTCAGAGTTTCGCTCAATTATAAAATAAAATTATTGAAGTTGTCATATGATGCAAACTCTGTTTCCGTTTTGCATAAAAGTATAATTTCATCAATAATGACATAAGGGTATCAATCAAGCTATGCTTCCAGAGGTCGAGGGCGAGGAACGAATGCGTGAGTGTCGAAAGTCTCGTCTCTGCGGTGCCGCGCACGCAGTTCATCTCGACCCTCCGAGCTGATGCCATCGACCAATACAGCGTTAGCTCCAATGGAAGTTGCCGTTTTGGACCGGCTTAGAGTATACCAATATGTTCCGTGCAGCTGATTGTGGTCATAAGTTCGGAGTCGGTAGAAGTGGTTAATCGCCCGGTAGTTTCTAGACGGCCGACCGAAGCCGGTTTAGTAGCCGAGCAAGCATCGAGGCGTAACCATACTCCATCAGCAGTCCTTCCACCGATTGTATATTATTGATCGCAAACGTTTGTTTGGCGAAAGGACACAAAGGATGGGAATATTTCGAGAATTTCCGATAGTTTTCAATCTCTACAAGAAATACAGTTAGTTCTCGTCTATTTCTGAAATCGCGTCCGTGCGAACCTTCCTGGTGATTAGGAAATAGACGCCAAATCCTCCATTACATTAACACTAAGGTGAGCGTCATTTGAAATAACACGTATTTATAAAAATACTTACATATAAGAAATATATATATATATATACTGAGAGAGAGAGAGAGAGAGAGAGAGAGAGAGAGAGAGAGAGAGAGAGAGAGAGAGAAAGAGAGAGAGAGGAAGAGAGAGAAAGACCTTGTGGGTTTGATAGAATTTCCACATTATCTAATTTGAAAATGTTGCTCCAATGAATCATACCAATTCAACGAGGTCAATCGAAACCGTATTTCATGCCAGAAATGCATTGCAATTAGATGTTTGTTTATAGCATGTTCTGATTTTTAATTTATCAACCAATGTGGTATAACATGTATTTGTTGACAATACGTTAATAATTAATTCAGTGTAATATGGTATAAAAGGCAGTAAAAATATTATGCATACATGTGAATATTTTTCGTGGTGATTATTATTCAAATTATTAACCTCAAAAGTAATTATTTGTAGGAATTATTTTATTATAATTTGTTGTATATAATAAATATTATTATAATTTGATTTAGAATTTATTAACTTTTACGTTATTTGATATATATATATATAATTTAATTTGTATAAAATATGTTTGTCAATTTTTTATAAGATAAAAGATTGTAGATTCAATTATAATAAATACGAACCTATAGTTTGTACTACAAAGTTTTAAATATTGATTAAAAAATAATCTTAATCGATTTATTCTTAATATAGTTTGATTTAAACGACTTGGCCAATTAGTGGTCGTATGATTAAGTTTAAACTTTACTATATTTACATGCACTTTATACACATAGGTACATGCTATTTTAAATATTACATACCATTTATATATATATTTAAAGTATAATTTACAAGTTTCCAGTGTAAGATATAGTCTAGGATTAAAAGTAGTTTATTAAATAATTTCAAGAAAAAAAATTGTAATCCGTCCAGCTGCCATACATATTTCTCGTAATTGCTAGTTGTGCTATTTTATTATTGCTTATTTAAAGTATATTTTAAAGTGCGATTTAAAAGTACTATTTATTTTAATTAATTTGTCTTTAACAAACAATAATTTTTTAGATAACATTTATAATTTTTTTTTTATTATTTGATATGAATCATTTGTAACTGAATCTTTGACTTCGCGAAATGATCTATTTATATGAAAAAGTTTTGACATAGTAAATCCCGATAGTCTGTCTAACTAAATTATTAAATTTTATGATACTCCTAATCTATTTTGCTAGTAGATAGATACTCCGTGTTTATTAACATTCTTAACTAGCTTCATGAAAATATAAATATGTTACAGCAATTGTGTAATTACAACAGAATTTATTCGAGAACAATCTTATATAAATTTTATTTCTGAATATTTTCTGCGCATCAATAGTGAAAAATATAAAGACAATATTTTAACAATTTTACAATTTGCTTTTAATAACTATATTAAAAAATTTCCTTTTTATAAAAATTTACAATTCATAATAAATAGTTTAAACTTAAATTTTGGTTAACTATGTTGAAAGTTTCACAATGAAGTGTCTAAAAATTTAGCTAAATACAAATCTGAAAATAGTCATATGAGTCATCAAGATAATTTAAACCAAAATGATTATCGAATGTGTTGACGATAATGTTGTTGAAAGTTTTTACTATTTTTAGCAGTCAATTTGAACGTCCTATATACATATATTATTATTTTGATAGTCTAACAAAATTTTTTTCAGATTTTTATTTAGTTGAATTTTTAGCTATCTACTTTAGCAAAACGTTTTTGTCGTGTACGCTCAAAGTACTAAATATATATTGTAATTACATGGAAACAATAATTATAATTAATAATTACAAGTTTTCAATGAAAGATGTCGATGAGAAGGCTTCAAAAATAGTCATCTAAGTTTCAAGAAAAAAATTTTTTTATCAGACGTGCATATTTCTCGCTCTCGCTAAGTCACGCAAAATTTTTGCGTCAAAGTATTAATCTTGGGTCGGTAGGCTATCGAATCGTGACGCCTTTTTTTAACTACACAACTTCCACAGTGCGAATTACGAGAACCTTTCAGTACTGGCCGAAACGCTTACTGGTGACCTCCACTAAAAGTTGTCACCAAAGACGATCGGTAATCGATTAATTTTTCTCGTTTTATTTATGTTAATTCCTATTCTATAACTCTTAGCGACAGTATCAATGCGATTGTTACATTGTCGTTTCTCAGATTTTATATGTATAGTAAAAACACTACGCAACGATATACATATATGTACACAGGTGTGTGTGTGTGTGTGTGTGTGTGTGTTGTGTGTGTGTGTGTGTGTGTGTGTGTGTGTGTGTGTGTGTGTGTGTGTGTGTGAGAGAGAGAGAGAGTTATAGAATAGTAGCCTTGTTCCTGTGTTTTGAAGAAATCGATTATTTATTCTTTTCTGTACTTATATAATTTTTTATATAGTTATGATATTTTATATAGTTATGATTAAGTATTTTATATAGTAATATAATATTTTGTACAGTTTATATAATCATCATTAATGCGCTTGTCTTTTTCAGGTGATATTCCGAGTATATTCCCTGAGGGAAGAGCTTTATGTGAAAAGATAGAAAAACAGCATCGATCACAGATAGGTTAAACATATTCTCTGAACATCGTGCTAAAATGTCGCAGACGTCGGAGATCATGGAGCAGAAAGATGGCCTAAAGAGGAAACCAACTCTCGTTAGACGAGTGTCCGATATGTTTAAGGGTAAATAAACAAAACAACCGCGTTCATTATCTTTTTCTCAGTCCCAGCTCTTTTTTCCTAAATAGCATGGAATACTTCAGCAGTATTGCTAGAATGTTCCACATTATCTGGGTTTGTACATGCAGAAATTTTGTAAATCGAATTATAATTTTAAATACTTTTTTTTTATATCTTTTTTTAAATAGGAGATATGTTTAGCCAATAATATCTCAGCTTCACTCTTATCGCAAAAAATTATGTAGTTGGAATATCATGTAATAAAAGATGTTTTCGGCTCGTAAATGATAGTAACTAACGTCCGTGCTGATTAATGATTTGTTTTTTATTCCTGCATTTTCTGAACTGGTGTACACGGTGCAATAAGTTGAAGTGAAACAAATGTACGTTTGTTATACTTTAACTTATTTCACCATGTGCATTAGTTCAAAAAATGCAGGAAGGAAGAACACAAGCTAAGTATTCTTTTTCTCTCAACGACAGATGGAAACTATAGTGGGCCACCGATGCTATTCCGTCACGCGTCGATGCAGAAGATCCGTCATTGCTGCCAGAATCTCAACCTGCTACCGTATCTTCTCTACTCTTTCGATAATTCCAAGTCGCATCCACTAGTCCGCAAGATGCATGTTTACCTCAGCCATTTTCTTCAGGAAATCACACTCAGTCTTCGGGTCACGTACGAGAATTTGCGTCAATCTGTGCTGCATGAAATCCGCATCGAGAAACCAGCCGAAGCGCAAAAAGCGATTCCAGAAGCAAATGACGATTCTACTAAACTTGACGCGAGGTTCAACAGGTTTAAAAAACCGAAGCGGAAGCACTCATGCTATCTGACTGCGGCCGTGTATTTTGTTCCATTGCTCCTCATCTTTCAGATGACAACCCTATGCAGCCTGACGATTTTCGGCAAATATACCCCTGGTTTCATCTTCTTGGTCACCTCGCTACTCTTCCTCGGCGGTATCGCGCTTAAAATACTGTTACACGGGTCTGTGCTGCACGACGTCAAGAATTGCGAGAGGAAAATGGTGCAGTGATTTCCCGCCGTTTTCACTGTCGCTTTATCATCTAAAGACAATAGAAGGAACAAAGAAGACTCCACATTTGGAGTTTGCGTGTTTCGTCGTATTACATTGCATCAAATATTACGTTCCGTACACGATCGACAGGACATTAACATATATTAACGCGTTCGCATTGATAAAACCTCCATAGTCTTTTTCATCTTGATGTAGCCTTTTATTTTTCACATGTAACGTTTCCGATCATTGGTTTTATACATGTATTCTTCCTTTTTTTGTACGTTGTTAAAATCATTAAGCTGGAATCGTGTAAATGTATAAACTACATCGTAAAGAAGACATTTTTATAAGCTATATAATGTATAAATGAAATAATATTTTTCTAAGCAGAAGCATAATCTTGATTGTTCTCAAGCGTAATCTGATCGGAGGACTGCTTGCATTCTATGACTTCACGACGCAAGTATTGCGAGTGTCTTTATCCTCTGCAGTATAAGACTGAGAATTATTTTTTAACATATATATTTGTAAATAAACGTGCGCGAATGATATATGTATATATTATATAATGAAAGGTGGATTTGTAAAATTGTCTCTCTCTCGATTTGTTGCGACAAAACGAAACGGATATAGGACCCTAATGTGTCCATTAAAAGTTAATCGAATCTGTGATGGTGTGGGTACAAGTGATTGCTCACAAACACTTGCAATACCACTTAATTACACATGATAAGAGTTACTTTATGCGTAGAGATTCACGCCTTAAGCGATCCTATCGATACTGTTTTTTATAGAAAATAAAAAAAATTGATAATACTTTTATTAACTCTTCGCTGATTTATTTATATACGCTATTTTTATACGCTATTAAAGTTAACGAGATTAGACTACCATATAAAACAACTGGGTTCAGATTGCAATGCGATATTCCGGCGTTATTAGAATACTCGCCGATCCCTGCGGCATATGCGATAACGTGTGCAACATAGTTTTGTTCGTGCACGCTATGGAAGAGATGCGCATACGGTCCTGCAAAGAAGATTCAAACATTTAACATTAGATTATAGACTTAAATATTTAACACTAGAAGTAGAATCAACTTGTTTAAATCCACAGAATACAAACTGACAATATTCTACATCAATGTTATCATTTCCTATTAATAATGTAACTATTAAGCATAATATCTATTATATTACATTTATATTGTTGAGTAGGAAGTTGTAATATTGATGTAAAGACGCGTTGACGATATGACCAATATGCCAACATTAGCAAATATCATAAACATACATGAGATAAATAAATAATTATCCATATTGAATGTAGTTAATATTTAGCGAATGTATGCAAAGTTGATGTATACATTGGTCATAACGTCTAGAGGTACCTTAATTTATGTTATTATTAATAATTCCGATAGGATATAACATTTATGAAATTATATAATGTGATCACAAAATTTGTAATTTGTAATATTATACAGGATATTTACAAAAACAAATGCAAAAACTCTGATGTTTTCTAAAATATTGATAACTGTTTGTGCAATTAATTTTGACATAATTTTGATAAAACAATAATGATATGATGAATTATCTTAGTAACATATTTATCAAATTAAAGGGAAGAAATTGTTCAATAATTAAGAAAAAGTTTTAGCTATATTTTTTAACTGCAGAATTTGTCTTTCGTAATATGTCGTAACTAATTAGACATTGTCGCACCTATAGCGTATACAGCTACGTCTCCACCGCCGTGGTGAGCTTCATCCGATATGATTGTAGCTTGTTGGCTATAAGTAAAATCGCTAGTGTTCGATTTGAATGGATCGATTCTCTTGGCTTGACCATCATCGCCTACGATGTAAGCGACATTGTTTGGTCCACCCGTACTATAAGATAACGTCGTGTATGGTATCCCGTCGTACTTAGATTTTTGAGCAATTCCTGAAATACAATTGTCCTCGGCGTGCAGTTTAGAAAGACTACATATATCAGTAAATAAATTCACGCGAAATTATATATAAGCAACTAAGGCTTATAGACTTCGATTCGTATTAGTTATGTTGTTACATTGACGGTCCTTTAAAATTTAATATAATAATTATGTTTACATATAGTTTTGTATACAAAAAAGTATATAATTGGCAATAAAAAAATGATAATAATAAATTATAGATTTCGGGATTAACACGCAACAAATTTTTTTGGTATGTGAAACTATAAATATATTAATTATTATTATTAACATTAGCAGTAATAACTATAAAAATGGAGCTCCTTATTATTTCAAAATTTGTGATTGTAATTGTATAATGCAGTTATAACCACAAATACGTTCTTCTTTTACTGCATTGTCTTACCCAAAATGGATGAACCTCGAGAACTGTATCCATTGAAGATCATTGACTGTGTGTGATCACTTGTGACTATAACGAGAGTGTCATCGGAATCGATTATTCCAAGAGTGGCGTTAATAGCGTCCGAAAATCTGACAGTTTCTAGCAGTGCTTGAGCAGCATGACCGCGATGATGAGCAAAGTCAATTAGACCGCCTTCTACCTGTAGAAGACCAGTCAGATTAATTTATTTCGTATCCCTATCCGAAAGATAATAATTGTACCATTAAAAAATATCCTTCTTTGGATTTTTGTAAAATTCGTAAAGCCATCATAGTCATTTCTTCCAAGCTCGGTTGTCCCTTTGGACCTCGTTCTCGCTTCCAGTCCATCGTAATATGACCATTGGCAAAAATACCTAGCAGGTAATCTACGTTATTAATATCGATCCGGGACAATTCTTCATTGTTTTGCACAACTTTATAAGCTAAGTTTCTATTAGATTTATCTTTCATCCATTCATCAATAAGATCACGACCGTCTTGTCTGTAGCAAGCCCACGTATCTATCGGATCAAATTCGCCCGCGCTCTTCACATTGGATTTCATTACCTGTCTACCACCGCCCATAATTACCTATAAACAGGTAAACGTATTATCTATTGTATTATTCTTGTAATTAAACAATTTTCACGACTCGTTCTTTGTTTACTCGAATATTTTTCCCCGGATCATTCTCCACTAATTGTCTGGCGATATCTTTGCAGCTAGTAGCGTTTTTAGGCATTTTTGATTCGCATTCCCATCTTCGATTTGCAGAGTGAGCATAAAGCGGCGCCGGAGTTGCGTGAGTAACTCTAGTATTTGTTACGAAACCTGTATATTAATTGTATTATATTTCGTAAAAAAATTATAAATTAATTATAATTAAAATAAAAATATAAAAAACGAGAACTTTATTTTTACTTTAAACCTTTGAACAAATTATTATTGACATATAATTTAATATATTTTTGTACAAATTAATTATAAAAAAAATTAATGACACACAAAATTGAGAAAAAAAATTTTTTTAATAATTATTATACATAGGCATCATTAAGACTTTTAAAGTCGGAATATTAGTAGATTCGACCTGTGGCTTTACCAGCTGCTTGGGCCCATTTTATAAATGAATTCACGTGATAATTCGCATTCAAGCTTGCCTCGCAATCATCTAATTGCACGTTTGCGTCTACTCCTACAACTTCGTAATTCGTCTTGACTCCCCCGAAGAGAGCGGTGGCGGAGGAAGCTGAGTCAGGGACTTGTTGATTCGTAGTATATGTCTTTAGTATCCCAACATGAGGAAAATGCTCCCAGGCAAGTCGACTGGTTTCACCACCATGATAAATTCTGCTAGCCGTTATAGTATCAGGACTCATACCGTCCCCCACAAACAGAATCACGTTTTTCGCTTTTTTTAAATTCCAAGCATATAAAAGAGATTCTTCCAGTTCTTTGTTTGCTAATTTATGCCAGTGTTGGCTATCTGCATTAGAAACGACGATACGCTCAATCTTCCTTATTTCACAGATATATTTGTTCAAATAGATGTAATAACATGTTAAAAACAAACGTTAATCTATTGGAAAAGAAATTTCGCACTTACAAATAGAAAAAAAGATTTCTTAAATTTTTTATCTTCCATATAAAAATATGCTTATAGGAAAAACTTTTTATTGCGTTTTGTAGTATTGTTTTAAAATTATCGCATTTAAAATTATCACGTACGGTTTGAGTATAATTAGTAATTGAGTAATTAGTATAATTAATCTTGTGTCCTTGAATATGTACGATAAGAAATGCATCGTAAAATTCCATGAACTATTTTTTAAGAGTCTGTAGTCAATTATAACTATGATGACACTTGTCAGAGGAGTATAAAATTAATTTATTTTTAAATACCTTCGATTGCAAACACATTCATAATCTTGACAAAGCATACAGAAAGATAAACAGTAAGATATTTCATTTTTCTTCCACTATTACCGAACTTTAATTATGTAAAATCTAACGAAGACACTATGCACACTATGTGAAGACACTATGCACACTATAAGTCAGAGAGAAACTCTGACTAAATAATCTATAAATACGTCCTCTGCTGAAATGTAGTAGGAAACACGAATAGAGAGGCTCTATCTCAAATGGTAACGGTTTAATTTTCAATGATATCGTAAGACACGGTAGCGTCTCAGCGCTAAGTATGATAATACGCGGTAGAAATCAATGCAGTTAGATGCACTAGTGCGTACTAGTTTATATTAAAAAAAAAAGCCAAAGTTATACATTGATTTAATTTTGAGTATAAAAGTGAAATGCAAATATTGCAAATTATAAATTTTTTAATACGAATATATGTATATATTTAAAAACTTGTGTGTGTGGGATACATTCTATATAGCATATTTTATTCGAAACATTCTGGAATGTCTTTAGGACGTTTAAAGAATATAAAAGTGAAATGCAAATATTTTTTTAATTACAAAATACATACAATTATTATACATATAATAATTTTTATTAGGGGAGAATAGGGCAACGCGGCGCGGCGTAACGAGCAATACGGTGCATTATTATTGTAATAATTTGCATTAGCTGACACTTCGAATATTAATGTTATTTAGTGCAATTATTATATGTTTAACTAACAATAAGATGTATACAAAATTTTAGAACAATTAATCTTTTTCTTTAATTTTTATCAACTAAAAGTTAGTTTGATATTAACTTTTTTATTATATGCTTATTAGCATAATTATTATAATAAGAAAGTTTTATTTTGTTATATATTTTTACGTCCAAGTCTCAGGATCTTTTTTATTTCGTAAGAAGTTCTGGATTAAGGATGAGACCTCGGAAGAACGTAACCGATACTACTTTCTCGGGAACGTGAGGGCAAGTCAATAAGTTTTTAAAAAATCATAGTAAAACACATTTTTTTTGGATCGATTCATTTTTGTTTCTCAACATAGTCTCCTTTCGCTCAATACACTTGATCCAACGATTCTCCAACTTTTTCAAGCCGTCCTAATAATATGATTTGTCCAATCCTTCAAAATAAGCCTCAGTTTCGGCGATGAGCTCTCTGGTGAATCTCATCCCTCCATTTCTCCAGGTTTGGAAACAGGAAATAATCACAGGGGGCTAAAAAGGGGGAACGAATATGCTGGATGGAAGCAATTCGTAGCAGAATTCGTTGAATTTGGTTATCGGTGCTGGACCCGTGCATTGTCTTGATGGAAGAGCACTTTCTTCTTCGCCAAATAGACGTTTTTTCTTTAAAATATTATTGAAACGGTCCAATAAGGCTGCATAGTAATCGCCATTGATCGTTTGCTTTGACGGAAGGTAATTGATATAAATTATATCATATCGCGTGCATCCCGAAAAACTGTGGCCATCACCTTTCCGGCCGACTTCACGGTCTTCGCCTTCTTCGGAGCTGGTTCACCCGGTGAAATCCATTGTTTTTTTGTCTCGGGTATGAAGTAATGGATCCATGTTTCGCCCACAATAATGAATCGACGCAGAAATTCATCTGGATTACGATGAAACATCTCCAAACATTATTTTGAAATCGTCACACGATCGCACTTATGAGCAAACGCGGCACCCATCTTTCCGATAGCTTTTACATATTCAATTGTTCGTGCAAAATTGAAATCACCGTGCCATGTGATATGCATGTGGCCTCAACAATCTCGCGCACTTTCACTCGTCGATCAGTTAAAATAATATCGTAGATTATATCTATATCGATGATTTCTGGCGTAGCAGCCTCAATTGGACGTCCCGAACGAGGTGCATCACATGTGGATGTACGACCACATTTAAATTGATTCACCCAATTGTATACAGTCGCAAACGCTGGTGCAGATGTGCTATGAACATTGTCCAACTCGGCTTTGATTTCTTTCGGTGCGTTAAATCTTTCATATGTAGATGTTTGATCACTGCACGAAACTCATTTTTTCCATTTTGCAAAAAATACAAAGGTTGTTCTCTTTAATCGTCTACAGAAATGAAACCTTTCAATGAATTCCGCTCAAAATTTGACAGTAATCAGCTGAAAGATGCTACTTGTCAAAAAGTAATGTGACATGATACTACGAGTGCCGTTTGACATATTTTCTAAGAACTTATTGACTTGCCCTCGTATTTTAATTCGTTGTCAGTCAATATTCGCGAGGCGTATGTTATTGATTGATCTTTAATGATTTTCCTCTGAGACAAGATACCTCCCACGGTTATTCCAGAAGCGTCAGTTGTTAAAATAAAGGGTCTCAAAAAATCAGGATATTGCAAAATAGGTTCTTCGCATAATTTTTGTTTTAATATTTCGAATGATTCTTCTTGAACGGATGTCTACTCAAAATGTGTATTGTTTTTTAACAAATTTGTTAAAGGTTGCGCCAATTTCGAGAAATGATAGGAACTGCCAACCGGCGAAGGGTTTCTATCTTTTCTCTCTTACGTTGACTCGCTCGATGCTTACTCGATGATTACATTTGACCATCTACCAAAAATAGAAAATGTAGATTACTATTGGCACTCAACCGCTATCAGTAATCGTAAGGCAGAAGGAGGAAAGAAGTGAAAGGAGATTAGAAGAAAGAATTACTCGTAGCGATTTACCGCTTCGAGTAATGATAGCAATAGAAAAGAATAGAATGAATTACTCGTAGCGAGTTACTGCTTCGAGTAATTATAGAAGATGAGAAAAGAAAGATACTCCTGGCGATTTACTGCCTTGAGTAATATGAAGAAATAAAAGAATTACTCGTAGCGATTTACCGCTTTTATACACTTTTCATGTCGTATAACAGTGTCTGCAATATGACTTGAAATTAGCCGAGTTATCCGCATGCAATAAAAGTGCATAATTAATAGCAGTTTTGGGAGGTCTGAACAGCGCTTCGAAAGCGCTTTACATGCGCTGGTGTGCTACGTGGGTACTTATGTCAGTATAAATTATTTGAATTTAGTGGCAAGAAATCATGTTCTTTAAAAATAAATAAGATTTACTGTAATTTTCAAAGCTGTAAAATGTATAGATTGTAATAAGGCTGAATAAATTTAAAACTAATAAAGAGAAACAGGCCAATAAATTCGTTAAAATCTTTAATTTATTCTAATATATTGCGAAGAATATCACGTAATGTTGGCGTTTCGTCCCGGCTTCCACTACTAGACTCATCAGTAAGGTATTGTAATAGAAGCCTATCTTATACGCCTGAGAGAGTTATTTAGTTGAGATTTTATATAAAGAGATATACGCGTATCAAAGCACTTGCGAGAATTTTGCGAATATCTATAGACCTCTGATGGCGGGTCGACGTAGTCATATTCTTCGCAATATTTATCTAAAGTAATATATGTATTTCCTTCCTTTTATCTGAAAGGTCCCCTCAAAATTGCGCGCCGAACTATTTATTGGCTCGTAGCCCTGTTTTTCTTTATTAGTTTCAAAGCTGTAAGTTACAGCAAGTGAATAAACTTTGAATTTGCCGCTTAATGATGATGCCATTCAGGGTGAATTTTTGATTGGTTGTCTGGAGCTATTGTGTGCGTGAGCATATCATTATTTTTATACTGTGATACCATATTGATTAATTCTCTGAAACTGGCTACGAGAGCATTTCTTGATTGGTTAATTAATACAATTCTTTCTTCCGATTGGCCATTCAAAAGTTTCGAAGTATTTGTAGCGTCAGATGGACCGCACCCACTATCATGCGCATGAGCGTAGCCCAGATTTTTGTCAAGGTACCATATTGATTAATTGATTGGAGCTATCATACGCATGAGCATACCCTCGTCCTCCACCTCGCACTCAAGCTTGAGAGCGGCCATGCACAGAATTTAGCTGTACTTTTAATTAAAGCGCCTCTATGTCCACAAAATTGAACTACGTAGCCAATGCTCATGATAAAATTTATTTACTAATAAAATTGGTGAATATCAAATTTATAAAAAGTGGTTGCTTTTCAATCTTGTTGTGTCTATGTAACGAATCGTGAGTTAAAGAAATCTTTCTCTTTCTAAATTATTTAGGAATAATATATTATTTATATGAAGACACAATGAACCTCGTCTGCGTGACGTTTGATGGGCTTCTGGAAGGAGGCCACCTCCAGAGGGTATTATTATTAATCCATTATTTATGAAAAACCGGGTGTATAAAGGAAACTCGAGTAAAAAGAATGCCTTTACAACGATAGGATTGCCGCTGTTTTGTATCTATCGCTGCCGCACCGCCCCGATCCGTCGCCAGCTTTTCTACTCAATACCTAGTAGAACAATGATTCGGGTTAAATAACCAATTTAGGGGATTGAAAGAAGAAGAAGAATGGTGGCAGATTGATTGTCCATCTTTGTCTGTTTAGCGGATAGAAAATTATGCCGTAGCGTACTCTTATGAAAAATACAAATTTTGGTGTTAACTGTCAATTTGGGTGTTAGTTTATGATATACCCACAATTTTAGTGTCATTTCGAGTGTTACATTCAAATACTTGGGTGTCATCTCCTTTTTGGATATTATTTTCGGCGTTACTGTCAAATGATTGAGGTTGGATGTATATCATTAACTGGGGTATATTAGTTGAGTGTAACCCTGGATCTACAATAAGTGTTTTAAGCCGTAAGAAATTAACTAATTACAGTCGAAATTCGAGGAGAATGACCGAGCATGATTCGTCCATTTCTTATGGCTTAAGGCAAAACTCTATTGTAGATTCGGGATAATCGGTGATACTGTCAAATAATTGAGTATCGGTTGGGTGTGACTTTTATATAGTGTCGGTACTCAACTCTTGGTGTCTAGTTCTGAAGAACCACTCGACCGTGACGGACGTTTCGCGTGCTCTTAATCGTATATCTTTGAAAGTGTTGCCGAATCTGACTGTGCACTTCTTCTTCCTGATGCGATTCCGCGGAATGGCTCGTTTGTTTTGACGCGCGTTGATTGCGGCGTGACGACGTCGTAGGCGCAGGCTCCCGTTCGGGCTACGCC